GAGTTCACGTTTTTCTTCATTAGTGGCCTGATCCAATATGTTACATTCAATCAGAGTCTTCCAGTTCATTCCAGCGTTACAGGGATTAAGTCTAGAGCACTATTAGCATCACACCCGCCTTAGAAGAGGCAATGGCGTAGCAACCAACTCCTCTGCTGTAGGGAATGCATTTGGATCAAGTACCCAAAGCATAGGAGCATTATACTGGTGTAATGTTTCCACAGTGATTCAGAGGGTGGAATACCAATTCACAATCTATATCTTTCCTCACAGGACTTCCTTAAGAGCTCTTTGTCTACGACTCATACTCAATTTTTCCCATGCAAATGCTTCCCAATTATGCGATTGAAAGTTTGGAAATAGCAGGTTTTCTGAAACAGCCATTCTGAAAGAAATAGATGAAATAGGCAGCCGGTAGTCTCTAGAATGATCAGTAAATAATTATTGCAAATAATATGGAATTATGTCACAATGGATGACAACAGCATCTGAGTTCTACCAGGAAATTTTGCAGTTAATCCAAACACAATTCCCTTATGCTTAGTCTCAGTCATTTCTGTTTTAATAAACTGTAGTGCAATAACATGTATGTAACAGTCAAGCCAACTGATTGTGTTATAATTAATTTGCTATACATAATTTTCCTTTGTAGTAGTTATTAATCTCTGAAACATTATCTTTAAAGCCTGGAAACCGGACAAGGTTTTTTTTGTTGGATATATCTATTTATGTATATCTGGTCAATTTGTTCATTTTTTCCAGACAAAATTCCTTCTTGAAGTTCTTGTTCATAAAGATTCGAAATATTCTTTCAAACCACCTCAACAGAATCCCTCAAGCATTTTAACCATGTGTTGTTACAAAAACAGTGGCTAGGAAACTGCTGTAAAAAAAAATTTGCTCTCAGCTTTTGTACCTAAATAAGAGAAAATTAGAGTTGAACAAAATATCAGATTGATTACTCTGAATATTTAAAACTTTAATCCTTTATAAAAGTTGTTAGATTACCCTTTTTTCCATTTTTAGCAACTAACACATACCAAAAATTACATGGATACTCAGAGTGATGTTATTACTTCAAGGTTAAAAAGGAAAAAGGATTCTGTAGTGAAGAAGATTCTATTCCGGTTTGTTAAATGTCTTTATGTCTTCAGTGTCCAGTAAATGTTTCTGCTTAGTAAGTCATCGTTATGTTTTTATTGACAAAATACTGACACTGCAAACATCAGACAAAAACATAATAGTTGTATTGCAGTTTCTATTTGTTTGCTGCCGTAAGAAAATCTTCTCAGCTTTCTTTAGCAAATGCTGGGAAAATGAGCAAGAAATCAAACGTGATTCCAAAGTGTTGCTGTTTGGTCACAGGTCTGTGTGGGAAAGTACCTTAGATTGTAGTCCTTTTGGCAATGTCTCTTTATACATTTTTCTGTAAAAGAACAATTTTCAGCAATTAGATTATTTGCTAGATACAGCGTCACCAGGTCAGTGGCTGATTTCATAACACATCAAACACATTTGCATATATTAATGCGTTCCACATAATAGTGTTTTAAAAGAATCTCTCTTCTTTCTTGGTTACACAAACAGCACGTGAACAGAAGATTTTTATTTTTTCCTTTGTCAGTGCTCTTGCTTCCTGGCAGTCTCCTTAAAGGTGTTACTGTAATTGTAATCTGTACAACTGAGATGGAACAACTCTTTATACAGTTTTGGCTATAGTTGCAGTTACAATGTCTATTACTGCAAACCTGTGAAAGCACATGTGCATTAGAGCATTACCCCAAGGAGAAATTAAAAAAAACCCACAGTGTAATCAATACTGTAAAAAAAGATGCTCTTTCTGGAGCTGTGACAGATAAAAGCAGCTGAAGTGTCCCATGCACACAGATTACAGTTTACAGATTTTACAGTTTACAGAAATCTTATCAGTAGTTCTTTCATTGATTCATGATATGGTAATATAGAATAATGTGCCCTTATCACTAATGAGAACTGCAAATATCCTTGTTATGAAACTCACTAGATTAATAGATGCTTATAAAAATATGCTGCACTACAAGGAACATTTCATAAAAGTAGCAGCCCAAAGAAAAGATTAGTAATACTAGGTTTACTGTACTGGAGATTCTCTTCTAGAAAAAATTATGAGAAAGGTCTCATAAAAGGTCTCATTGAGTATTTCTGTCATAATCTCTGCTGATCACACTTGCACAGCTTACAATTGGTGGATTTAGTTCAAGGCTGACTCAGTATTATAATTTTGCAATAATTGTATAATTTTGCAAAGCAAGGATGGATTTTTTTAGAAGGAGTTGTATAGTGCAGCTACTACATTTGTCTTCCAGAAAGTCCAAAATGGCTGTATCTGTATAGGAGAACATGGTGCCACCTTTCCATCAGAAAAAAAAGACACAGGTCTCCAAACTCCAAACATATATCCCCTGTTGTCTGACATTTGCATTAACTTGTGTAAATATTTCGGAAATTAAGCAAGCAATCTGTAGGTCCTAATCTAAATTTAGAATGCCTACAGTGATGTTCCTATGCTTCCTAACCAAAATCCATGGTTACTGTAGATAAACCCATCTAACAGCATAGAGTTAAAATGGTCATGAGCTGACTCATATGGACACCTGTTTTCTCTTTCTTTGTTTTATATAAACTGAGGAGGTAATACGTATGGGTACAAAATGCCTTTGTAGATCATGTGAAGTATTTTCAGATGTTCTCACAGGTTAATATGAGGAATTGAGGATGCATTTTTCACTTATATTTAACTACAAGTAATATCCTAGGAGTCTCTTTTGAAATATTCTTTCCAAGGTACAATAACCTGAAGAAAAAACCTCAATTATTCATGAATTACTTTTATGCTCATTTTTAATGTGTTGTAATTTAGATCTTAACTTAAAAGAGAAAATATAAATGAATGATAGTGTACCAGTTGTACCTTCCTGGACCAGTTTGCCCATTGTTGGCAGCAGCTCATTTCTAAAATTGAAATTAGCATTTGCTTGGTTTGTGATACTGTAACGAATACTCTTAAGTTGCATTGCATAATCTAATAACTCATTCATGCAACACTTGAATGAAAAAATGCTATTCATTTCAGAAATTCCACTCTACTGGGATGCAATATAAGACAGATTTTTCTTAATAATGACTTAAGCAGTAGATGTGCAGTGAATTTGATAGCAATAAGATAATTATTATCAGTCAAGAACTGGTATCGCTTGGAAGAACTATCTTTTATTGCTTGGTCATCTAGCTGGCTGCAAAAATAGATTGTGGAAAAATTCCTACCAGAATAAAAAAAAACAGGTCTGTAGAAAGTAAGAACCAGGAGAGTGTGCATACATATTTCTCTCTGTTGGTTCTGTTTAAGGCTAGTAATGAATGATATTATGTGAGGGAGAATTTGTAGTACCCTCAAGCAGTGATTGGGCATGAACAAATGCAATGTTTAGACAGAAACTGATTTACTGATTTTTCTGGAGTGTGATGAAAAGGCACTGAAGGTGAAGATGTTAACACAATGCTGAAAAGGCAATAAGAGTCCACAGGGGCACTTCTTAAGCTGATTTCCACGGAACTTAGTAATTCACTGCATAATAATATGCTTCTGAAACAGTTATTTCTTGTACAGCAGGATGTTACTGGAGTGCTGATTTAGCATAATATAACTAAAAATTTCCTGTTAAATGTACCTGGTCAGGTCTTAAAAACACAGAATGCGTATTTCACAGTGCACTTCCACTGACAGAAAAATGAGTGGTATATTTGGGTGTGTGTATGACAGAGGATGGGATGGCCCTGCTGTTCTATAAAATCAGGTTCATATCCAAATGTATATGAAAACTTTGTATAATACAATATTATGATGGAAGGAAAGTAAGGAGCTAAAACCTTGTTTGAAAGAGATGAGTTCTTAATACATACTATTTACACAAGAACATCATTCCTGACAAGTATCTATATTAGGTCACTTTTTAAGGGAGCTGTGAGATTAAGAGATGAGCCTTTTGCTGAAGGAAGAATGTGCAAGTGACCAGACACCTCAAACAGATGAGAACTGTGGAAACTTTAGGAAGCTGTGAGCAGTAAGTGAAGGAAGGTTTACTCTGCCCAAGATTTGTGGATCCATCGTTTCATGCTGTAGGAACAGGAAATGCCAGACTTGAGCAAAGACAAAGTGCCCGTTAGCTAATGGAGGGAGTGAATGGAGCTGTCAAAGGCAGCTGGATGGGAAAGACTGCAGAGCATTGTGGATAAGCTAAAGTAAGGATCGTAATCCTGGAAGAAAGATTGACATTTTTTCCAAACCAATTAAATCAGACTTCAAAAATGCAGAAGGTGGTTACAGGTGGCTCCATTACTCCTGCCATCCATCACCATCTGCATATCCATCATGCTGAAAACAAGAGGACACTGAGAAAGGTGGAAAAGCCCATTTGAAAAAACTTCAAAAACACGTTATTAAACCAGGCTATCTACTTGTGCCATGTATAAATCAGATGGCTGCAGAGCTGTGGAGTTGTCTCCTCTTTCTTACCTGTATGTGATAAGTGCAGCCCATTTTCTCATGCAGATTTCACAGATTCATATATAACTGGCATTTATTTTTGTTACGTCATTTGGCTACTACACAGCTACAGCCATCTTTTCTAGCTTGACACCTGACACGGCTTCTTAACCGTTCTGTAACAGCCAAAGAGGCATTGTGGGAACAGGAAGTTAGCACGTTTGTGGGTTTTCCTCACTGCAGTGAAGAGAGTTGAAAAGCCGAACTTGTGGTCTGCTGTTTTGTTTTGTTTTGTCTTGCCTTGGGGTATTCAGAACCTGAAGGTTGAGGCTGTGGGTACTACTACCTCTAAAAAAATCAAACTAATTGTGCTTTAAAATGCAATACTGTATTATTATGTCACTAGTGCATTGAGGCACAGCAATGTTATTTACTGTTAGAATGCTATTAAATGCTTTTATTTCAACTCCTATTACAGAACATGAAAAGCAGCGATTATGCAAAAGCACAGATTATATGAATTTGCACTTCAAAGTGAAATGGTTTTATAATGAATATGTGCGAGAACTCTCTGCTTTCAAGGATGCAGTAGCTGAATACTCTCTGTAAGTAGTGTATAGAGAAGTTTCCCATGGGTTTGGACTTGATGTAAGGTTTATTTTGGTCAAATATTTATGCTTAAGTTTGTGCGAGATCTCAAGGTGTGTAGCACTGACTACTCTTTACTTTTTGCACTTCCTCCTCTATAATTCTTCCTTCTACCAAATGAAATAGTCCAGGTATTACAAGTGCTATTAGCTATTTCATAGGACTCTTTATTCAACTGTTGTAAGTGCATATTTTCATAGATGACAAAATAGTTTGGTCGAAGGTATGAAATGTGGGAACAGCGGGAGTATTCATAGAGGCCCCTGCGTTTGTTTCATACCCAAATTTGGATAAAGATACAATGCTAATGAGATATACAACTGAAATTATTCTTACTGCATTGGATTAGTATTCGGCTACTGTTTTCATTTTCACCTTTCCTCCTGCAATCAATACATTCAGTCCTGTCCTTTTATAGGAGCTATCCTTGCACTCATTTCTTCACCTTCTGCAAGTCTGCAGATTTGCCAAGTTGGTTTGGGGCCTTTTATTGCTTTGAATTTTTTTAAAATAACTAAAGAAAAATAAAACACAGCTGACGTTTTATTAAAGCAAACTTTTCTTCAAATTATATCAAATACAAATAAAAATAAATGTAAACAAAAAACCAATATTGATAAAAGACATATTCTAAAATAAAATAAAAAAAATGTGCAGAACACAATCCCCAGCAAAACATGGAAACATTTTTCTTATGGATACTGCTGATTTTACATCACTGGGATAGATCAGTTAGCACAATGTGAAACTGAAGCCTGAAAGACCTTTTGGTAGCCACAGTGTCTTTGGTGACAAAAATTTTTCTAGGGTGATACACTTTTTAGCAACAAGAACAGGTGTAAGACACAAGGAGCCAAAGTGCTGGATTGTATGGCATCTCTTCTTGCAGGATCTTTATGAAATGTACTTACTTTACAAAATAATTTTTAATTTTCAGGTGGTTTGAACCATTTGTCATTCAGTGGCTGGATGAAAATGAGGATGTCTCAATGGAATTTCTTCATGGAGCACTAGAAAGAGACAAAAAGGATGGGGTGAGCCTTTACTTTTTAAAGAAAAGTGTAAAAAAAGTATGAAGGCAGTTATTTAGTATTGCAAAATCAGAAGTACATTTGCTCCCACAGTATCCTTGTTAGACCTCAAAAGATACAGCTAGTAACAGTTCTTGAAGATAACCCTATGGAGAAATTCCAGCTGCCTAAATTCCCCATAGACTTCAATCTATGGTTTCAATAAACTCTGAAGTGATATCAATGTCATAAAGAATAATTCCGTTTTTATTTTTAAACTGTTTGAAAGTAATAGAAATGTGAAAAGCCACATTTCTCAGTATTGTCAGTGAGGGTTTTGTTGGTTTTTTTCATTTTTTATTACTTTTTTATAACTCTGGAAAGAATTACAAGTGTAAGAAAATCAGTTAATCCAGTTTTGATCTCTGAACACGTATTAACTCATTTGAACGTTTCTCTCTAGTTTCAGCAAACATCAGATCATGCCCTCTTCTCTTGTTCTGTGGTTGATGTCTTCACACAGCTCAATCAAAGCTTTGAGATTATTAGGAAACTGGAGTGTCCTAATCCAGAAGCTCTTTCTCATTTAATGAGAAGATTTGCAAAGGTAAATTAAAATCAGTGTATCTCAACTAAGTTTCAGAGAGAGTGACGTGTTGCCACGTACTTAAAAGTTAAGTAATTTCAATATTCTTTAGAATCAATCTTTTCTATCTCTGACTGGGATCCTTACAAAGACACGCTGTCAGTGGCTTAGACTGTTTCTCATTTACTTTGTTAAATTCTTTTACCAGTTTGAGAAGTTATATCCTCTCTGAGGTTCCATATTTATGTAAGTTATACAACCAGTTACTATTATTGCTAAATACTGATTACAGTTCCATTAATGGAGCAATTCTGTGAAATGCAATTATGTAATTAGTCAGCACAAGGGAAGGAAAAATTCAAGGTATGGCAGTAAAGTATTGTTGGTTGAAGCCCTGAGGTTCGATAAACTCAACTTTGTTAGGCCAGCTGTATATATGGATTGTAACATTTCCTCACAAGCTTTAGATTTCCATTATAGTCCTGATGGCTTTAAAAAAATTTACATTCATATTTATTCCTGTTCTTCCATTGCAACAGTTCCTCATTTGCAAACAAAGTTCCTATTTACATTATTATTGTAATGTGAGCATATATTGCCAGGCTTTGAACACTGCTCTGTTGGCCTTATTTTTCCTTTATATTTTTAATCTATGGATTGTTACCCTAGAGGATCTTTTGAGCTTTCTACTGTTCCACTAAGTATGTAGCACATGGCAAGGAGTAGAGCTCTCAATGCTTCTGAAAAACAGTAAGACTAAAATTAAAGTATCTCTGCTATTGAAGATTACATTACATTAAGAACAACCCACCATCTGTTGTGCAGGGATTCGAAAACATGTTCACAGGATTGCTTATGTTTTATCTAAAAAAATACTATATACTAAATTTTTTAGCACCTGTAAAATATAAAATTTATATATAAAGCTCCTTTTTTCTGTTTGTTTTATTATTTTTTCACATGATGAAATTTACCATTTAAAAGACTCTTCTTCTCTCCTAGACTATCAACAAAGTGCTTCTTCAGTATGCTGTAATTATTTCAAATTACTTCAGCTCATACTGCGATAAAGAAAATGTGGTAAGCAAAAAGTTGTCTTTTGTTTCGTCCTCAGAAATTACCTTTAAATGACTCACTGTACTTTTAAAAAATGTAATCACTTTTGTACATGAGAAAAAGCACGATTGGAGGAAGGGATTTTTGGTTTGCTTTATTTTTTGATAAGGTCAGCATGTTTGCATAGCTGCTTACATCGCAGTGTGAAAGCTGGAGTAGGTGGAATTAGTTACAGATCCTGTTAATAATTTCATTGTTAGAGTAGAAAAAAAATTACAAGATGGCCAGAAACCCTCCCTGGATAACAGCCGTATACAATAGTGAATATGGTGAATATATCCTCATCTTTTTTTCCAAACAGAAGAAAGTGGTTTTGTTTGAGTTTAATTTTGCATTGGCTTGCTTCTCTTCATCAATTTATACCTTAGAGAGTTTATAAAATCCTCGTTTCCTGCACAGGGAGAGCATGCAGACTTTTCTGCTCCTGCCACTCACTCTGTGCTTTATCCATGCAGCAGTGAAAAAATCGTGCTATTTTGTTGCCTCACTGCTTCTGAGGTACTCCCTAATGAAGGATCAGATTGCCATGGACTCAGAAATAAATGAGATATGGGCACTAAAGATGTCATTAAACAAATCAAGACATTATCAGTAGCTCAACATAACAAAGGAAAATCGTTCTTGTAAACTGACTTTCCAGTGTCATTGATATTCAAATCAGAGCTAGTACTCACCAGGCCGGCAGCATTTAGCACTCTGCCTGCTATATTTAGTAGCATGTTGTACAGAGGTATCAGTTCTGCAATTAGATAAATATCTGCAGCACCATCCTCACACCATTCACCTTTAGAAGTACAGCCCTTATATTGCTCATACACAGATCTCAGCTGTGTTTGTAACATCCCTGCACATGGCTTGAGGACACGCTCATTCTTGCCGGTGCTCTCTGTAGTGTCAGACAGTGTCATAGTCTAGAGGTCACCAACAGATAGACAGTAACAGAATTCTGAAAGACATCTATTGCTAGTGATCTCAATTATATTAAAAGTCCATCTCCTGCATTAGAGTTGATGTAAGAGATTAAAACAAATACTTTTTTATGATTAGAGTTAGATTTTGGCATTTTTTTCAAGTCAGTACTTCTATTTTTATTAAACACTATTAAATGTGCACATAAACCATTCAAATAAAAGCATACCAAAGGTGCTTTTCATAAAGACATGTATCTAATGTAAAAATATCCTCTTATCTTCTACCTCCTGTCAGAGTTTGCAAACAATCCTGGCTTTATGTGTTGTACTTGCCACTCACTTCTACACGTTGTTGCATCTGGCTGTCTGATTCCTGTAAATTGCTGCAAAGAGTATTCTGATGGACGAGATGATAATGAAATAATAAGACGAGAATGTTTTTAAGCTCTGGTTCTGTTATTTACTGACAGCAATAGAACTTTTTCCATTGAGCCAAGGTAGACTTAGGCTCTGGAAGAGCAACCTTATCTGGCCTCAAAGGAAACTTCGAAAACTGCCTCAGTATGAAGTATTTATTTCATAGCTTCAGTACATTGTCAAAGGCATTTGGCCTTGTTTTAAACAAAAGAACCAAGACGTTATATTCATCTACTTATTCCCCCATAAGAAATCATAATCATTGATTTGCGATATTGCAGATAATTTCCAGAATAATCACAGAATCCTAGAATGGTTAGAGTTGGAAGGGACCTTAAAGATCATCTAGCTCCAACCCCTTCTGCTAGACCAGGCAATAACGAATATGTCAGAAGGAGAAGATAGCATAGGAGAGGAGGACACGGTCTTGGTGATCATAAATTAATAGAAGGTAGATAAGCAAATAGAAGAAGTGAGGTTTGTGGATTTTTCAAGAGACAGGAAGAGAGGTGATATTTCAACCATTATACAAAGCCAGCTGTATTTTGCAGGAGGCCAAAGGGCATGCTTTACTGCGATGCAGTAAAGTGAGGATTAAGAAGTTAGATCAAATTTCTTTTTGAGTATCAATCACTATAATTATTTGACCACCTCTTTTTTCTGAAAAAAGTATATGTGTTTTATTGAAATGCATTACTTAGGTCTAAATTAATCCAATCACGTACTAGAACACACTGACCTTGGCCAACCAGGACTCTTGGCAAGTATTGTCTTACTGCGTCATACCAAACTAGCATATAATGTCATCTCAGTATACACAATTCTAGTAATAGATCTTTTCTTCCATAACTTTTTAATAGCCTGCTTAATTTTATCCATGTTTGACTTTTTACCTTATATTTATCCAGCAATTGCTGTCTTTTACACTGTGGCTCTGCATTCTGCTATAAAGAAACGAGCTTAAACAACAGTATTTTTAGATTAAATATGTTTACAAAATTCTGTTGCCTAATTCATTCACCACTTTTCAAACAATGTAAAAGGTACATTTCTGAAATACTACTCTGTTATTAACAGAACTGCCTGTTGATTTATTCAAATACATATGCATCAGCCATTCTCTGGGTTACAGTGCTGTCAGTTTTCTACAAAGACTGGGTCTAGAAAGCAGTCTGGCATTTCCTTTCCCTCAGTCTATTTTCACACCCAAAGTGCTTTGATCATTATTATGTCTACTCTCAAAGAGGCAACAATGTATTACTTTCATTAATCTATGAGATGTAATTGTCTTAAGTATGACTAGCAACTACCGGGGATATAAGGTTCGGGATGTGAAATACTGGTATCTGAAAGCTGCCAAGGTGGGTGGGAGAAAGGAATCAGTTCCCTGCGGGGCAACTTTGTCTTAAGGGCACAATGGGCTGTCACTGGCTGAGTGGGTTTGCTGACTGGGCAAAAAGGAGTGTGAATTAAAGAAGGAAGGGGAGTCAGCAGTGGTCGGGAACCTGAGATCCTCTTCTGAAAAATCACAAATGTAGGGCTGCTGAAGAACTGGTCTTCAGCCCAGAGGCTGTGAATACACATATTCATACGTAAGAGGAACATAACATGCATATTCTCAATTTTGGTGCTCTCTTTGTAGCCCTGTATCTTGATGAACAACATTCAACAACTAAGAGTCCAGCTTGAGAAAATGTTTGAGTCCATGGGAGGAAAGGAGGTGAGCCATATTTGTTTCCTGGTTCATTCAAAGTTCCTTAGAGATCATTAGCATCATGTTTTCAAGCTAGCACAGCCTTTACTTCTGCTTGCAGGGAAAATCAAAATTTACAACAAAAAAAAAGTCTACTAGAGCTATTTAATGTCCTGACAATACTAGAAACACCTAACACTATTTCACAGAAACATGCTAATGATCTGTAAAATTCAACCAGCACTGGGTGTTTTCTGTTGTAATCTGTAGTGCCAGCTTTATTTTAATGTTTGTATTGGACTGTACTTCGCTTTTTTATGTATTGATATGTTTTGCCTGTATCTGAAAGTTTTGTAGAATGTGCTTTGTGCTTTGTCTGTAATGTGTCATGTCTTTGTCTAATGCCTTTGGCGTGCAATCCACTGAGCAGAAGAAAGAAGGAGAGAGATTCTCTTATGAGGTTTGTGATAGTAAGCATCTTTTATTATTCCTGACCATATTTTCTAAGGCTAAGAACAATCCCATTTCCTACTAATTTCCATTGATGCATTTGTGTAATTCCCTATGATCTAAAATAAAAAAGAGCTATGCTTGGGCATTCAGTTTACACTCCAAATTGAGAAGCTTTACTAGGCAGGTAGTGTAAAGTCTTTCAGAATTCCTAAAAAATCTATAAAACATTTTTAAGTGCACTTTTCAGTATATGAGGGTCTGCTTATGTTCAGGTTTCGGCACCATTTCATCAAGAGCTGCTACTCAACAGTCCAGAATATGCTTAACTTTATCTCCTTTTATATTTCAGAAGTCTTTTAAGTGCCTGAAGTCCTGTCAACAGTAAAAGGACATAAACATGTGCTGCTTCAGTACTTTGCTGATTGTAGTCTTTGACTGTTTTGAAAGCTAATGAAGAAATTAACATCTTTTCAAGCTATAGAATCCTGTCTTCTTGTTAAAAAGCAATCATGAATATACTGCCCTTCTTATCAGTAGCTGGCTTTAAAAAATAAGTTATACATGCATCAGCTTTTTCTTGAGACTGTAGTTTCGTAGTTCCACCAAACTTTGACCTAATGTGTCCACATTTATAGAGAGAATTGGAAAATACATTCTTTCATAATTCCACATCCACAGTGGGACACTGCAGAGGTAAGAGAGTCCCCTGTGTCATGCAATGAATGGCACCTTCTAAATGAACCTACAGATTAACCCCATGGTAAAGAGGTTTTGTTAAGATAGTAATAGCTTCTTGAAGCTGCCATGGCAACAGTACTTCCTGCTTCAGAAAACATGAACTAAACTTCTGCAGCCTTGTCGACATTGAAAATTTCTTATCAAACTTTAAAAATATAGATTTATCATCCAGACATGGCTGGTTTTTGTGGTTCCTATTAATTGCCTTCCAGTCTCTGAATAATACAAATAATTTTGTCTTCTGTGCTCTTATTTTCTGCGCAAAGTAGTTTTGTATTAAGGTCTTGGATCCAATCCTACACATTGAATGTCATGAATCATGAAAACAGCTAAGTGCCCATAAATCCTGATGAAGACAAGGACAGAGGAAAGCTGAGTAGCACTTTATGTCTATATCTATCAAATTATTTTCAAATCAGAATATTTTCTTGACTTTCCTAATGTTCCATTTTCCTCACCTACAAATGCGGTGCAACATGCAACCCTTGGAGAGAATTTGGAGATCTTTTTCTGAAATCCCTTTGTTAGGCACCTTAAGTGCATCTCTGATTTGTGGTCTAAGAAAAAAAGATCTAAAAAAAATACATTCACACTTTTTTCTCATTAGGGGAATTTCTTGAAGAAAACTATGTTCAATTTTTTGTCACCCATATCAAAATGCTCCTAAAATGTTTGTCCTCGAACTGGGATACTTATTCCCACAGCTATTCCAAGACCATAAATGATAATGGGAAATTTGCCTTATTGAACTGGTACTTATAGGAAGCAAAGCCAGCAATAAAATCGGTAAGCAGTTTCCTTGCAGGGAGAAATAGTTTAATTATTTGCTTGTGGAGGACATAGAATTAGATGATTTTCAGCAGAAAAATGAGACTATTTCAGTTGAAGCAAAACTAATTCTAAGAAAAATGAAATGCTGTTAATCTCCCCAGTGTCACATTGTGAGCAGTACGTCTTTCTTTCAAACTATGCAGTCAAAATACCACAATCAAGCATCAGTCCCTACGTTCAGAGCAGGCTTTTTGCATATTGCAGGGAGCTCTGTAGAGAAAAAACTGGAGTCTCAGCTCTCCTGCCATTAAAATAAAATAGTCTGAACAATATGAGTTTCTTTATTAACTCTCCTCTTCTGCTGTAGCCAAGCGGGAAGGGTACTTAAAAAATTATATAAATGATATCACTCTGCCATAGTAAAGTAAGAGTAGTAAAGTGGAATCCAATCCACTGTCTTTGATTAAACAAAATAAAATCAAGTCCAAAATCATGGGATCAGATTATCATAATGTAGAGTTTTGATTTAGCTCCTGTTAGTTTCATCCAAAAGGAGTGCATACATTTGCACTAAATAATTTTTTCATGTCTGACAAGTTGGAAGCTGATAAAAGGGAAAGAAAAAAAGGTAATGCTTGTGTTGCTTGTCTCCAGATGGCAGAACATAGCAGAAATGAGTTATGGCAATTAGGATCAAATAAAAGGTGGAAAGCAGAAGCAGGTTGTTTATGTACAACAGGATTATATTGACTGTAGGTAAATCATATTTCCAGTCCAGTAAATTCAGTTCCAACTTTACATGTGATGCCTAAGAATTCCTGTAGGAATGCGCATGTGGTCCTAGAGACTTTGACGGGATGAGAGAGGCCCAAGCTTAAGCAGAATAGTTCTGAAGTGTCTGTCTTTAAATCTGTTAAGTCAGAGGCCTAAGTATCTAGAGCAGCATCAGCCAAACATCTCAAAATGGGATTCACTGTGCCTAGGTAGTCGGGTGGGGGGTGGAGGAAGGATAATGTCTGTCAGAGACAAAAAGAACCACTAAAGTAACAGATCTGAAAAATAACTGTATCTTCCCCAGATATACATACAATATGTAAAACTATTTTCTGAAGGAAAGTAACCAGGCGGTCCCATTAGGAAACTATAAGCAATTAGACCTGGGAAATTGCAGATAAATAGAATTCCAAATAAAGAGGTTCTCTTTAACTCACGCAAAAGTAATTTGCTTCTGCGTAGTTTCCTATAGAAAAAGTACCAAATTTGTATGTCCATAATAGCACACATCAAATTACAGCATGGAATAGCTCAATCTAACAGGTTGTGTCAAAAGCAGCCAGGTTCATCAGATCTTTAACTCTTTTCCAAGGCTGGTAGGTATAAAAAATTTCACTGTTTCAGACAGGCAGCATTTAGAAACAACAATGTTCAAATATTTATGTCTCATTTTTCCAGCTGTTCAGTGGAAGTATTCTCTGCTTTTGTTCAGCGGTCAGAGAAAATCAAATTTCTAGTTATCTATTTAATAATCCATAATTAACAGATCTTATGAAATGTACCAACAAATTTATGCATATGTTGTGTTGTGAGTAAAAATTAACTCTGTTATTTAAGAAGATGGTAAAATACCAGAAATATTTATGAACCTTAGAAAGCCAAGCAAATTAAAAATTGGTAGAAAAGTATGATTTACACATTAACAAGTTAATAACATTTCCACTGCCCTTTAAAAAAAATCCAGATTTTGACACATGAGCAACCTATCAATATATTTTAAGACTAGCCCACACATGCTGTGAAGTGTAAATGGAACCCAAGAAGCCAAAGGATAAATGGTCTTTTCTGTCTTTCCATTCTTAAATTAGATATGGCACATTAATGACACTCATCTTCCCCTTCCTCAACAATAATCTGCTCAGCTAGGGATTCTTTTATTTTCCTGAAAATTGGTTCAGGAATGGGGTTGGGTTTTTTCCCTTCTTCATCAAACTTTAAGGAGCAGATGAGACGAGGCAAGAAAGAAAAGTTGCCAATACTGTAGATACCCCATTTTCATACCCCTCAGACGCAGAGCACCATTGCCTTTTGTCTCTCTTTCATCCTTTCCCTGTGGTGATTGCAAAACAGGATAACATTAGGGCTAGGTCAGCCCTATAATTCATCATTTAACCACATCTGGGTGATTAAGACTTCTGCAACTGGGCATGTTTGTAGTTATTTACTTACACTCTTACTGGTAGCAACTAGTGTGAGGAATTGCAGCTTGCATTTACCTGAGTTCTTACACACTTCCCGTTCCATAATACCTGCACTATCCAGAATTAATTGACTCGTGAAACAGACAGTTCTTTTTGTCATCACTCCCTTTATAGTAAGTAATCTCAAGCCAAAAATGCTGAGGACTGTCTTCTTTTGGTCACTGGAAGGCCTTAGATAAGTGAACTAATCTCTTCATCACTGATTTGCCTTACTGGGAAACTTACCTCCTTTATGTAGTGTTTTTGAGAGCTACGTGTTGCTGTCTCAAGTAGTGAGTGTTGTGATGTCAACCCGCATAACTCTTGCAGCTTGTCAGCTTAATTAAGGCAAATGACTTGTACAGTGCTATAGTGCATTTTGCACACAATGCTTTCCTGATGATAAGCAAACCTGGTATAAAATGCATTAGCAGGAGTTGTTCAAACCATTGCTAAAATAATAGATCCTTCTAAAGCACAAATAAAAATCCTTTTTAAGCTTGCTGTTGCAAAACTCTGCAAAGGCTGTTGCCAAACAGCCTTTTAGAATATTCAAGAGGGAGACAGTAACTCTTCCTACTTCCACTGAAATCTTTTTTTTTCCTTAAATATTTTGTTTTTTATGTAAGACATCATAGCTGAAGATATATTTCATATTAAAAAATCAGTGGTTTAGTTCATGCATAAAAGATAAAATATCCAGAAGATAATCCACGATAGTTAGTGTGTGTGATGTGCAGAGGTACCAAAAGCTCATGTACCTTAACTCCACTGCACCAGGCCATCCTAAAACCATCTTCACCGGTTGTGAAGTCCCCTCAGAATTCCATAGTACAGAACCACCACAGAAGTTCCTATCTTAGCTATACCAGATCAGATAAAAAAAGCGGGTCATGCCTGTGGTATGTTTGGATTATGTCAGTCAAGGGCTGATTTGCCCCAGGATCTCACTAGCACGTAGAGGAAACATGGTAAAAATAAATGAAAAGTGCGCATTTCAGTCCTGGTGTGACACTCAAATTGCCATATTTCCAGTAGCTAAACAAAAATAACAATAGCATTTAAAAATCTTGTTGACATACTCTTAGTGATCGCATCACCAGGTGTCCAGCACCTGGATGGTCAGCCCGCATACCTCTTTATATTGCACTCCTCCCTACGACTCTGCATTCGTAAGCATGAGCATGTGTCTACACAAGGCTGGATGTCCTGCCAGATGCCTCCAGCTGTGCACACACAAACTTGTTCATGCAACAAAACCCTTTAAAACTTCTAGCATTTGCATGCACCTTTCTATAATGTGTGTTATGTTCACAATCTGATATTAGTATTTAAACCAATTCTGGCCAAACTAAGTCCAATTCCAGGTGAATTTAGCAAATATATTATGTTGTCTGGTTATCACAACAATCTCTGATGGAAAGTAACTACATTGGCCTTTGTAATCCCAGTAACAAGATGATTCTCTAGCTTGTGCATGATCTAGTAAGGAATTTTAAGTTTTCTGCCTGCCTGGTATTTTTTTGCTTTCTCTGATGTGTGCCATGTTCAGTGTGAATGCTTGCGTGTTTAGTATTTGTTAGATGTTAATATTCTAGTGGTCTTAAATTTGTGTTCTCTATGTATCCCAGCAGAGGAGGAAGTATATTCCCAAAGAGAAATGCATTTCCTTGAAAAATCTTTGCTGCTGTTAGTAAACTCTGTCTTTATTAACTAATATAGACATTTCAGTAAAATTAGGTTTTTCATCCCTCCTTTTCATATGAAGGAAAACAATCACTTTAAGTGCATGAACTGTCAGAGTGTATCTGCCAGGGAAACTACTAAGACATGAAGTGGAGAAGCAACAGAACTTTTCTCAATGCAAAGTAATTAAAAGCTAAATCAGTAAGCAGTCACAGTGTTAAAAAATGAGCTTCTCAGATTAGAAAAGTTCTGCACATCACTGAGTATCTTCTAAAGGATGTATGGCAATTCCTCTTGTCACCTATTTCAGATTTTTGTCAAAAACTGTAATGAAAATCTTGGATTTTCCATGCTCTTAAATGACACATAACCTCTAAGGAGAGAAAGGATGGTCTAAGATTAGAACACAGTAGATCTTTGGAGGTGTTTCAGAGTTTGTTTTCTCTTTAACTTGCCATAGAATCCCTGTGTAGTCTCATCTAAGTTACCCATTGCGCTGTGTGACACAGCTTGCCCTTGTCTCTAAAGCGTGATTAAAAGAGCTGACCTACTGCACCATTATACTCTGAAGCATCAGATGAAGAATAAGCACTAAACACTACTCGTGCACTTGAAAGATAGGAAAAAGCAAATACAGACAGATCTGATTTATATATTCTAAATGCACAATTTCCTTTAAAATTCTCGGATCTGTATCTGACCTTACTGCAGAACAGAGCTCAGAATGTGAGGATTATTATTGAAAATCATTCCCTAACATTGTGATGTAGGTTGCTGAAAAGCCTGGAACATCAGCTATTAATTCACATGCAGCTGTTGATCCTGATGATCATCAATCATACCCCACAATGGACTGTACCTGTTTTCCTGAAATGCTAAAAGCTGAAGGAGACAAAAAGTCAGTTATTTTTTAATTTGAAAAAGAATGCATAGAAAATCAACAGAGTACCTTTTTGATTAAATATCTATGCATGGATCCCTATCCCTGTAAATGGAAAACTACATTTCTCCCCTGCGTTCTCTTTTTTCCTGTGTTTAGAAATCCTGCATCAGAGGTACAGGAGCTGTTCTCCCTGTGCGTCAGAATGTGTTGCTCAGTGCTTGAATTATATATATCTTAATGGCTTTTGGAAACAGAAGTACTGAAATTCAGTAGGTTCCCTTCCATCATACTGTACCCAGTAGAAGCAGCACGGATAGTCTTCAAGCCATCTTTTCCAGTGCTGGCTGTTCTATTTTTACACTGCATTAACAGGAATATGCAAAGATCTCCCATGCAAATCACAAAAACAATTACTGATGGTGGTGAAATGTAAAAAAAAAAAAAACAAACCAACATCTGCAGTATTATTAACACAAACACTAAATTCTCCTGCATCCTTTTCTTGTTATGTCTTGTGAAAACCATTTGCCTGATAATTTTATTCTTGTGACTGCCAGCACAATTTGCACCATCCCATAAAAAGCCAGTGTTTAATGGCACAGTTTTCATTTCTAGCATTATAATCCTTCACTCTTAACATCAAATATTTTCCTTTAAATGGTAATTGGATTTTTAGGCCCAGTAAAGCAATCCTGTGTTGTAACAGGTGTTTCCACATTTAGTTTTCCACAGTGCAGTGTATCATTGCATATAATTCCTAATTCATTACTTGCAATGGAAAAACATAGTGTATAAGTAAAATATAACATTTCTTATCTCTTTGCAGCTGGATCCTGAAGCTAGTGTTGTTCTAAAAGAACTTCAGGTGAAACTTAGCAATGTATTGGATGAACTCAGCGTAACATATGTTGCAAGGTAACAAACCTATTTAACTGTAAACCTGAGAGAAATATTCCTGCTCAAAATTCTGCCTTGTTCATTGAGTCTGGGTGGTTGGTTGGATGTCCTGAGGTACAGCTTGCTTCTGCCCTGGTGTGTGTGAGCATGGGATTAGACTCTGCAATATACAGTAGTACCTTCACTGTAAAGAAAACTGAACACGGTCTGTGGGCATGGACGTGTTACAGAGGGGAGACTAATGGCTTTTGTTCTTCTATTTGGAAAACAAAAATTGCTGATTTGTTCTTGCCTGACGCTGTGTTTAAGTTCTCTCTCTGACCACATTTATGTTATTCCTGAGACTGACAGCTTTTTCCAAGCGGCCTGGTTCAACCAGGGATGTGTGCCTGTGTTCAGCCTGCTTCAGATGATCACCGTGAATGGCCTTCTTGGGTCATTTGCTTGCCTGTGGCTCTGCAAAAATTTTCTACTGAGCCTTACTCTCAAAATCTTTGATTAATCAGAGAGGACACAGAGAGCAGTCTTGAATGAGTATGGTGCTGTGCCAGCAGTGCCTGGGCTATAAGAAAGCTGCAAGTTATTTTTGCTTCAAATTAGAAAGGAATATAAGAAGGAGGGATTAGTGCTGCAGTGGTATTCATTAAGCAAAGTCTATAGTTGTTTCTTTAATCCATCGATGAACTGTCTGGGTGGACAGTCTTTGCTTTTTCTGGGTGCTTCATTCCTCATATTGTCTTGCTTTTCTTTTGCTCCCAGGCTGTGATTCTCTGGTCAATGGCAGTGCTTGAATGTATTTCTTTCCAGGACTTCTCTCTGAATGAGCCAACTAGGTTTCTGCAAAAGAAAACCTAGGAATAACTCAATTTAGGATATTCTGCAGATAGCCAGAACATTCCTCATGGGTCAGTTTATTGCTGGGGGTTATGAGGTTAACAATGTTAACCTCAAGAAAAGCCAGTGCGTTATTTTGGCTTTTATTGGAGGGACTGGTACCAAGGATTTACATGAGCAGCTTCAATAGCAGCTTCATGTTGATTTTGTCCAGGGCTTTGAAGCGTATACGTAAGTACACATCCGAATGTACTTGGAAAAGTTTCCAATCTTTCCAGTGTTTTCACATGGAGGAGACTTGCGTTCTCTTTTTATGATTAGCCATGTAGCTGGAACAGCTTACTGCTTAATTATAGTGGTGTTTTTTTCTCTCATAGTAAATTCTCTTTGACTTTCCTGAAGTTAATCATTGCCATTTATCTTTTCACATTAATAGGCCTGGTATATTCATGGTCTCTGTTTTGCATTTCTGTTTATAAACTAATCCTAAACCAATTCAATGCATCATAAATCAATTCATAAACTAAATTACCATATTCTGCCTCTGAACTGTTGAGTCTGATTAACTGCTGTTCTTGTTTGAATATATTGACCAAAGACTGTGTCACATCAGTGACGCTACAAGAGTGTCAGACACATTGCTTAACCAGAGCAGTAGGAAACAGAACAGTTTTTGGAAAAACTGAGCGGAATCAACTTGAGAAGCAAGAATTTGTTCACACTCACCTTGAAGTGGAAAAGACTCCTTCCAGGAGCAAGAGTCTAACTACTTCTTAGTGGGGATTTTTTGCAAAATACTAGTTGAAGTAGTCCAAATGTTTTAACTCTGGTTGCAAAGAAGTAAGCAAAGCTTCTGGTTGCACTGATGCTGGAAAATTCAGGAAAAGTCAAATTGAGCCAAACAGGGCAAAATCAGTAGAAGTTATCTATTTGTCGTCAAGAAGAATATCAAGCTTGGTTCATATTAAACATCAAGGGAAAAATAATTTATAGTCACCTGTTCCTGCTGTACTTTCATACCAAAAATAAAATCTTGAGCTGGTGTTGGCAGGTGGTAGTCAATCATATCCTAAACTGATTCTGATACATCTATTGCTTTCAGAAAATAATTACTTGCCCCCCCTACAAGGGCATGAAAAGCATAATGACAGAATAAAAACAAGGATAAAAAGATCAAAACATATTTATATGAGCTATAATCCTTAGGAGGAGTCATCTTCAGTCTGTAACACCTGCAGTATCTTGCATATATGAACTTTCCATCACTGCAGAAAAGGTTTAAATCTTGTTGAAAAAACTGATGCAAAATTATAAATACTGTTTTCTATCCCAGAATTCTTTAATTTTCTTTTTTTTTTTTCCCCCCACTCTGTAGTTTCCAATTTATTATTGAAGATTGTGTAAGACAAATGAGCAATGAACTGAACCAAATGAGAGGAAATGGGAACGCAGCAGCCAATAAGAACAGTGCGGCCATTGATGCCGAGATTGTGCTTCGGCCTCTCATGGATTTCCTGGACAAAACGTAAGTTGAGTGCTACAGTCAGGCATCCCTGTAGCATCATTAATACCTAGAAACACTCTGTAGTATTTTTAATATTTGTAGTATTCACATGTGTGCACAATACTATGTTTAACCTCTTCACTTATACTAAGCAGTTTCTATATAAACTACATATTTGCCTATTTCTCATCATGTTTTGAGTAATTTTTGATAAATACATACTATTAATATATTAAGTGATAAATTGGACTTTATAATCTGCAAGTCTTTTTTTTTTTTATACTGATAATATTGCAAAATAACTAAGCCATTGAGAAACCCTTATCAGTAAAGAAAAGCTAAACCATAACAGCCATTAATCTGAGCATATATAGTGATGCAGCACCTCTGAAGTCTTAATACTAGTTTTAGAGACTGGTTTGTGTTTTGTTTTATTCCAGTTTAAGTGTCTCTGCAAAAATCTGTGAGAAGACAGTTCTGAAACGGGTTTTAAAAGAGCTATGGAAGTTAGTCTTGAACAGAATAGAGAAACAAATTGTGCTCCCACAACTGACGGACCAAACCGTAAGTGTCTCAGTAGTTATTCACACAAGAACACACATTATAAAAGATTGTAATAATGTGCTTAATGGGGTGTTTGGCAAGGGCTCTGACACCATCCTTTTCTGTACCTTGAACCAGAAGGAATAATGCATTGACCGTATGCATTGTGTTACTCTCTGGTGTTTGGAAGTAGTGTAACTACACTGCTCTTCTCTAGCTGGTGAGGAAGACCTTGCTCTTCCACACACTGCCTGCCCCAACTCACAGCAGTTTTTATGAATGAATCTCCAGCTTTGTAGAGTGCTTTCATTATTAGGGCTTTAAATTTGATTTCTCTTGACTTCATCACGCACAACTACATGAAGAGTATTTGCCCTTCCCAGTTGCCCCAGAAATTCAATTGCTTCCATTTTTGCAGTACCAGAAAGGCAGGAACGCCCCATCCCTTTCCCCACTCCTGCCTGGGCTGCCATTCCTCATCTTGAGACAGCACGTAACGTCAGGAAGCTTAAGCCACTTTTGGCTCTAAAGTTTTGGGGTATTTTAATAGCAGATTTGATAGAAGGTTGTACGTGGGCAGGACTGCATTTACAACCTGACAAGAAGAGGGAAAGAAACAGTAAGTTAATACGGAAAGTAGCGCAGCTACACACAGGACTAGTGTAGGTGACGGCCTGCTGTGAACCCTGCGTGGTGACAGAGCTAAGGGCACCCGTAAAATCTGATTCTGTCTAAGGATGAAAGAAAAAGAACCTGACCTGGAATGCCTTTTGTAAATTGCTTTTTTGTTTTTTGAGAGACTGGGGTAACGTAAATGTTAATTCTTCTTGTTTTCAATCTTGTCTAGAATAAATTTGCCACCTTTACATTGCTGTAGTGTGCCTTTGGGCAACTTTACTGTGTACATCCTATGATATCAGTTAAGCTGCTAATAATCTAGTGGTCAGTGTCCATATGTTAAAGACATAATATATTAATGGTATATGAAAGACTATTGCTAGAAAGGCAAGAGGAACATGTATAAATGATGTTAAGATAGTAACGGAATAACCTGAGCTATTAAAAATTGTAGACTAGAGCTAATCACAAGATCATAGCGAGGACTCCATTCACTGAATTTGTTCATATTTACTATAATGCTGTTGTTTACTATGCATAAATAGAAACAGCCTCACTTTCAATGAGCAACTGTGTCAAATTTATATCTCTGAAATTTTTAATTTGCTTTTCAAACATGTTGGTGCAAATTTTATCTGGTAATACACAAGGAGCATTTAAATTGAGTAACTGCATTTCCCATCAGGCATTAGGAGCATTTATTAGCTTTATGCAGGATCAGTTGTTACACCATAATTCATAGAACAGAGTGGTTCAGAGTTAAGGAGTTTTTCCATTCTTTTTTTAATTTGTCTTACTATTCTCACTACTAATAAATAACAAAAATTTAAGGTGCAGTTCTATATTATATCTTTTGCAATTGAACCATACAGAAGCAAAATTATTTCTGAAAACTGAAACCTTTTGGAACAGAAAGACTAATGAAAATTGTCCTGTATTGTGCTATGTAAGCTGGACTGACTTTTTTCTTCTTTTTCTTTTTTTTTTCTGAAATTTAGATATTCAGAACTATGTCTTGCTGAACTGCATATGAGCATGGAATTATAGTAGGAATCTGTTTGTCTAAAACAAACATGTAGGCGTTAGCCTTGGTTATGATGCCAGGATTTGGCTATTGTATTGGTTTAACTTCATAACACTTTGGTATCTTTTCTTACAAGAAATGGCTTTGGCTTAACAGCATGTCGTTACGCCGTGTGTTACTCAACTGAGGATTTCACTGTAGACAGTTAAGCTTTTGCAGGTTCCTCAGGGCTGCTCACTTCCCATTACAATTATTTATATTAGCATAGCACCTGAAAGCTATGATTATGGACAAATATCTCATTGACATGCTGTATAAGAACAATCCTAGCCTAAGCTTAAAAATATTAAATACAAAATGAGATAGCAGACAGGAGCACACAAAACTACTATCAACAGAATACACAATATTCATATCAAGTAGGGATACGGGAGGGAATCATGCTGCAGGCATTCAACTACTTGGCCTTATCAACTAAATGAAAATATGTCTCATGTGTAATTGAAATTTTTATTTAGCTTTGCAAAACAGCGACTTTGGCTAATGTCCTAGCAGAAAATAAGATCATGTTGACATAAAAAGCAAACACGCTGTAGTGAGTCTGTTTCCTGAATTTTCAATGTGATTACAGGGGCCCCAGATGATATTCAGTGCAGCCAAAGATCTTGGACAACTGTCAAAACTCAAGGTAAGGGAGCCAAATGAAGCTGTGAATGGCTTGCTCTAGTGAAAAAAAATGGATGAAATATTAGTGACCGTGAGGTCAAACCTCACGCCTCATTCTTGTGCTTATTTGCTATAGTAAGATTGAATGTGGCAGTAACTGTTCATAGGTGAGTAATGATTTTAGTCCCATCAAAACCAAATTAAGAATAAAAGACTGTATTGTTATCTGGTAAAGTGATCGCTAGATGGGTCAAGAAGATATCAGTGCCATATTGCACAACTGGGCCTTATAAGCATTAAACATCATGGAAAAAAATAATTATGAAATCTTTGTGTTCCCTTCTGGAACCAGTTCTGAAAAAATTGTGAGGTGGGAATACTAGTAATTTTTTTCTACATATTGTTTATAGTATGCATTGAAAGATAGCATGTTTCTACAATAAACTCATCAGCATTACATTACTGAAGTCCGTAAGACACCTGATGGAGAGCTTAGATGTTTGATACTGAAGTTGTTTGCCAATCAATTTAGCCATTAGGATTTCAGATATGGGCAGAAGTGTGGTAATTTGTGTTTCTATGACTAATTGCTCAGCTTGCTAGAAGAGTTAAAATGTTGCCTAAGTAAATCATAGGATGCTTATTTTATAGATGGATTTCACGGGAGTATAGTCACTTTAAGACTCTGTTTAATTTATGTTCTAATAGGAAACTTTTTTTTTTAAACATGGGACACTAAAAAACATTATTTAAACTGTCAGGTTTATTAATAAAATTAACTATTTCAGTACCATCTAATATAAGAAGGGAATCATCTACTATAAGATGAGGGAAATATAAGAAGAGGGAAATAACACATCCTAGAGAAGGAAATAAAGTTACACAGATGGTCAGTATTAAACATTAGTTCTTTTTTCCTCCAATCTATGTTTTCATGAAACAACACAACTGCTGTAGGTTATAAGTTATTGTAAAAGAAGGCTGAAATTGAATTAATCCTGTTAATCATAGGGACTTGGGGGGCATTTTGCTGTTTTATTTTTTTATTTGTTTTTCCAAGAACAGAGAGGCCAAAATACTGATTCTTTCAAAATCAACTGCAGCTTTAACTTGTTTTGCAGGACCACGTGATTCGAGAGGAAGCCAGAAGCCTGACCCTGCGGCAGTGTGCAATAATGGAAGTAGCACTAGCTACTATCAAGGTACAGCTTTGTGTGGTTTTCTGTTCTGTGCTGGAATTACTAAGAACACAACTGTCATAAACAACAGATTTTAATATAGAAGTGTCCTTCAGAATCATAAAGTTTTCTTTAATATGTGAAGAACCATTTGATCCTAAGCTGCTTGCATTGACTTGAAAGCAAATGTCTGTTAGTCTGCATAAAGAGAACTGTGGCTACCGCTGTTCTGCCCCAAAGGAAATCCTCTTTTGAAGGACAAAATTTCCTCCTCGTTTTCAGCGGCCGTACCAACCGATGAGCCACTTTTCTCTTCCATCCTCCTCCTTTCACAGTCCAGGAAACCCTAATGTGGTCACTCAAGGATGACACACATTTTCTGCATATGCACAGTAAAACAGGTCAAAATTGGAATAAAAAAAAAGATAATCACCATGGAATTTATTAGTAATTTCCCAAAGTGGAACCATAATTTCAGTTACAATTACAATGCAATGCTAATCCAAAACTTCATATTCTAGAATTTCCTCTCTTAAATTTTTTAAAAATTCCCCTTTCCTTCAGAAAGAATACATTCTTTACTTGTGCTGTAAACCATGCTTGAATTTTAGAGATGCTTTTTTTTAGATAAAGAATTAAAACCTATTCCACTCTCCACAACGTAAAAGAACCCTGCATATATATATATATATCCAGTTTGACATATAAATACTTGACATCATGAAGACCAAAATTAAAATTTTGTATATTTTTTCCTTTCACAAGTCTTAATCTCTGTAGTAGAGATGATGACGGTTATCTCAACTACTACAATCATAGATCTAGCCACATATGCCAGGTGTTATTTTGAAAAGTTTGTGTAAGAATTTTACTTAAAATTGTATGTTTGTAACTGGGGCCTCTCTCAGACAATTTGCCTCTCTGAACGACGCTGTCTCTTTTGCATTTTAGCAATACTTCCACGCTGGAGGAAGTGGGCTGAAAAAGAATTTCCTGGAAAAGAGCCCAGACCTACAGTCCCTGAGATACGCTCTAGGCCTATACACACAAACTACTGACGCCTTGATCAAGAAATTTATAGACACTCAGACGTCTCAAAGTAAGTGATTTGTAAGAGATATATCAGTGCTTCAAATTCTATTCTAAATGTTTTAAATGACTGGTTGCTAGTCATGTTCTCCAAACGATGTGGTATTTTATGGTGTATTGTCACAGACTTGCCCATGCGATGTTATCCCATATCAGCTGCTGTTGTCAATCAGTGGAGCTTATCTGCATTTATCAGCTTGTCACTTTCCATATAGAATAGGTCCTATAGCTCTGTATGAACACTGAATATCAGGGGTTTTTATGGAAGCATTCCACACACAAACAGGGTTCTAGAGGCCATACCAGAGTGCATACTAGAATTGCAGAAACAGAGTAAAATTGTAGGGTACATTAGCACCTCTAGATACCTGCAGAGCTGGAGGATATTAATTACTAACCACAAATAACTGCAAAACCCATGACATATCCCTTAAATTTTCCTTTTGAGATTAAGAACAATAAATTGTGAACAACACATCCTTAATCTAGCACACTGATTCCACATTACACAACCCAAACTTCTCCTTCTAGCCGGTCATCTGTGGATTCAAAAGCAGTAGAAGTTTTCGGTAGGCTAAAATACAGCATTCTTTTCTCTGTCTAGATGTTTTCATTTGTGCATCTCAGCATTCAGATTCAAAACCATCCTGCTCAAAGTTCACATCTTTTTTTATGCCTGCTTATCAAAAATCCAAATTTTGATATCTTCCCAAACACAAACCAAGGCAGAGAACATGTAAATCCTCTTCATTTAAAATATATATGCTATTCATTAATGGTGTATTTCAGAAGAGAACATTCCTTGATTTCAGTAAGAGGTCAAGAGTTCACAGTTATACTTTTAGTCAAAGATTCCTCCTGTTTTCAAAAAGAATCTATTTCTTACTGTTTTTCTTACCGATCTAGGACAATGTCTTCATACTTCTACAGTATATACAGGAACTGCTTTTATATAGATAATGTGCATTATATTCCAAGCTGAATAGTTTCTAGAAACTGCAAATTTTTGCATAATAGTAATCTTTACTAGATTTTTTTTGAATGTGATAGGCATTTGTAAAAATGGCCTGTCCGCCACTTAATATCTTTGGGACAGAATACAATTTGCTGATCTCTGAAGAATTACCTTGCTCTCCCACTCCCAAGAATCAGAAAAGTTTTAATTGGACAGTTAAGCTGGAAATGAATTGATTTTACCTCTGAAGTACAGTATGTTACTCACATTATAAAAAGCATGAAGCATTAATTTTGCAGCTTGCCCCAAGATTAATTCCAAGGAATGATTTTCTAGGCAGCTTCCATATTAGACTGAAGATGTCTGCCAATAATTCATACATTACAAGTGAGAAAATTGCTATAAAACTCTAGTACATAAGAAATAGATTCTTTTTTTCCCCCCTCTCAAAAAAGATTATCAATATGGACTTAGGCAGAAAATTACTAATTACTAGTATATTTTGCTCTTCCTTATGCATACTTTCATTGTAACTTCAGGAGAGAAAATTAACCAGGTTATAGCCATAAGCAGAGATCCTTTACAAGTCCTGAATCACAACCTGAATTTTCTGATTTTCATCATGGTTTCAGCCTGAGGTCTGTGTTCATTTCTGTGCACACATTAGCATGGCTGTATTTGCACACCAGTACTATCAGAAGTGTAGCCACTGGGAATGAAAGTTAAGGAAAAGTGACTCATAGCTTTTCATCATCCTTTAATGTCTCATTTAAAAGAACTAAAAAACTCATCTATTATGACCTCCAGCCTCAAAACTGTAGCTGTATCATTAGCATTTAGTTAAAATGACCCTGTTTGCAAATCAGAAGCTTTCTCTGAAGCATAATTAGATTTATAGCTGCCCTCATAGTTGTGCAAGTAACCAATCCATAATCAATAGACAGTTGGATGTAATTAAACTGAAAGCAATGGAAAAAGAATACTTTAAATCTAAAGAAAATAACATATTGAATAATAAACTATAACTGTAGATAAAAGTGGGTTCTTAGTTTTCCTATAATGATTACTAGAATTAGACAATAACCAGGCTTACTTTTAACCACAGATGAACATACTTTTTCATTTGCCGTGATTAAACTGCAGTATTTTATAATAATTGTTATTAATAAAAACACTCCTTACTTTTAAATTACATAATCTCGGGTATTTGTATTTTTTCATGTGGTGGTTTCAAAACGCTAAATACTTGAAAGCTAAACTCTTACTGATGTTTCCAACTACATCAGACTACGTTTTCATGGACATATGCTTTAAAAGCAAATTATCATACAATCAGGACTATGGAAATTAGCTGCCATAATCTTACCCTGATGCTTTTTCCTTTACTAAGCACTGCTACAGGCTTTTAAGACTGTTTTCAAAACAGACGTGTTTGAATAAGTAAATGACAATGCTGAGCATAAACCAACAGTAACATTTTGAATAACTGATGACATATAATGATTTGCCATTTAAAAGGAATATGATGATGAAAGGTGTAAATTCAGTACTCAGTGTTGTGAAAACAAATCTGTAACCACACTATGAAAATGAAAGATAAAAGAAAAGAGTCGTGTGTATCAACTTTATTTATTAGACAATACAGATATGAGATTAGCATACTTAGTGACATAGCTTAAGTTCTGTCATATGCCATCATATTAAACATCTGTCTTTCTGCCTGGCACAGGAGGAGGGAGAGGTTTCTCTTCTCTGATTACATCCCTACTATTATCCCAGCTTAGGTCACACACTTTCAGCTTGTTTCAAAATTAAACACTGCCAAGACTCTGATTGTTACAGATTTTAACACTGGTATCAATATGATAGTAAGGGGGAAGATTATCTGTGTTTGTCCCTTAGCTAGAAAAAGGAATTTTCTTTCCAGGAAAATAAGCAAAATCTGCCATAACTTGATCTATTTAATCCCAACCCACAAATGTAAAAGTTGTAGTGCAGCTTTCTCTTTTGCAAATAATTGGTATTGTTTGGTAGGAAAACTTTTACAATTTCACATACAATGAATTATAAACTGCTACCAAAATTTAGTTCCACTTATCTGAAGTTCAAATTTAATATTAACCAGCAGGTGTCCAGGTGATTCTGCAGTGCCTGTTGTAAGCACATTCTTCTGGATCTATGTTTTCTTCTTATTCAACCCTACACCTGTGTTAGTGCTGCCAAGAGCCATTTCATGGAGCAGGTCACATTCAGCGTCTCTAAAATGGACACTGATATAGACCTAAAGGATTCTGAAAAACCTGAAGGCAGTTTAATGAAGAGAACTGCGTTTCAAAGCCTGAATGACTTGTATCTTACACACTATGTGGTCATACGTACCTCTGCAAAGAGCGTGTGAAACGCAGCCAAGTGAGAAGCTCATAGCATCAGTACCCCATTACCAAAGCAGGTCTCCTGAGGCTTAGACCTCTGATTGATTCTGTCTCCTTTGGACTTTTGTCAGCTGTAAATTGTCACTTTTAGATTGGGCACTACTAATAACATACATTAGCTCATACTGTAAAAGTGATATTTTTCTCCTCTAAAGTTAGCTGCACGATAACATTTTGGCATAAATTCAGACTATAATATGGAGTGTTTTCAATATCTTTTGTGACCAAACAATTGTTTGTGCACACTATGCTAGTGCCAAGCACAGATCAGTTGTAAAAGGGCAGCGTGCTGCCAAGCTGACCTATAAAACCCTGCTCAGTTGCAGGACTTGAGATGGCTAAAACACCCCATGGCTGGCTAACAGCTGGGCAGCACAGAATATCTAGGAAAGCTCAAAGGGTTCTGCAAAAGACCATGTCTTTGTACGCTGATGTATTTATACAAGTTGTCAACCTACATCAACTCCAGTCAAAAAGGTCAAAATTTCAGTTCAGGCAGGACAAGCTAATTTTAACTAAACTTGAACTAAATTCAGCCACATTTTTGCAATCAAGACAAAACTATAAAAGCTAAAGGACAAACTCTTACTGTATTTCAGTATTTAAGAAGAGAAGAAACGGACTCAGAACACTGAAGTGAAACTACATCCATATCAATTGGCCTGTTGTACAAACTTTCCTGCTTTATGGTATATTTGACTTACTGTTACTCAAAGCTCAGACCAGTCCTGGTGATGCTTCTCAAAATTTATTCCTAAAAAAAGAGAGAACTTTCATCCCGGCTATCACCTTTTTACTGTATTGTTATATCTTCACCTTTTAGACTACTTAATTTAAAGGATATTAAAATTAAAATGAGAATTATGGCCGCAGTTTAGTTTAGCAACTGTCTTAAATCTTCATTACTTTCCTAAACTACAGTCTGTCTTGTGAATGTTTATATTTGGTTAGCATCAACTCCAATAAGATGGAAGTGGTGGAATCGCCATCCCTGGAAGTATTTAAAAAACGCATAGATGTGGTGCTGAGGGACACGCTTTAGTGGTGGTTTAGTCAGTGTTAGGTTGATGGTTGGACTCAATGATCTTAAAGGTTCCTTCCAACCTAGACAATTCTATTCTATGATTTGGACAAATATTATTTCAATTTTTGCAAACTACATAAAAAGACAGCACCTCCAACATCATAGTGTCCTGAATTTGCTCTCATTTATTACCACTAATTTCTGCAAAGTAAATGCCACTGTGGCATCTAAAATGGTTACTTATTGGAAATAGGCAGAGAAATATTTTTTTCTTATAAATTTACAGCATCTTAGTTTTACAAACCTCATTAGAGAATGCTACTGTTATTGTAAGGTATACAATGTAGCAATCCATAGTAGCAAGACTGTGATACATTTTTAAGCCTGACTTTAAAGAGTTTGTATTGCTTAGCCAGAAAAATCAATACTCATCTAGTAACATGGAGCTCATACTACAATCCCTACTTGTCTGTGTAAATGGCTGCAGAAAATGCCATTCTTTCACATCAGCTGATTTGTATCAGATTTCTTCATTCTTTACTGGACAAGTTAAAAGAGGAAGAAGCATCTGAAGCAAGAAAAGATAATACAGAGAATTA